AGCCAAATAAATGATACATGTTCAGTTCCTAATTAAAAATATCACAAATAAATAAAAATATTCGTGTTTTTAAATAGTGTAACTCAAACATTACAATACTATTTTATTGTATTTCAAAATTACAAAACTATACTACTTATAAAATTTACTTAAGATTCTGAGCAGATAAATTCGATTTTACATATTTGCTGTGTTTGTCATCACGTCTTGGAGCAGAAAAAGATCTTCAATCATTATTTTAATTTGTTTATCATTTGTGCATGATTTTAGTCAAAAATTTGATCTAGTTTGTACTAGAAATTCAGAAAGAATTAACCATAGAAACATTAAATTTTTATTAATTCTGCCAATTTATTGACAAGTGTTATAATTTTAAAAATAGATTTGCTTTTTAAGCTATCTCTTATCTGTATATATTTGAAATGTTTGTTAGTTTTTTTTTTTTTTGAAGAGCTTTTTATATTTTATGCAAGGTTTCTGGTATAGTTTTCTTGCAGTAATTAATAAATTTTGGCAAATTAGTTAATTTATTAGATAGTGTTTTAAGTTATAATGTAATTTTATTTTTGAATTAAAAATATAGACTAATCATGGATCTATTTTTGAATATTAATAGTATAGCATTTCAGAATTACATAATATAAGTATAATAAGGTAATCCATGTTAAAAAATATGCCAAGTGCAAAATCCAATCCATGACTTGCGTTTGCTCATCTGGGTCGAGTGATTTTACAATGTTATGAACACCGACGACTGATACCAGTTTGTCCATAAACTATAAGACACACTCAAACCGAGATACACCTATAAAGGTATCTATATTTCACCTAGAATTCACCACAAAAAATAAACTACTCACCAGCGAACGTGGGGTATTTAGCTATTAAAATTATATAGTTACATGCATTTTAACGTCATTAACGGAATATTAATTAATATTTACCAAGATAGTAATTATATTCATAATATATAATAATAATCTATTACTTTTTGGAGCATGTCTTTTTTTTWAAAAACTTTATATAACTTTTAAACATATTTTATCTCAGAATAGTGTATTATTATACATAATGTATTATAATTTTGAAATTATTATACAGTTTTGGACTTTATTTGAGAGTGAAATAAGACAAGTGTTTTTAAAATTTAATATTTTTAACATAAATAAAAATAATGATATAATTTTACTTAAAATTTTGTGAATAATATAAAATCAAAAACGCAAAATATTCAATAATATTTTCTATACTTTAGAGTCCAAACTATATGTATAATCCACTTTTCAGTTACCATCAAAATAAGTTMAAAATAATTGTTTACATAACGGATACGAGGAAAAAGTACTTGGTAAAATATACTGAGGAACTAAATTCAAATTTAAATTTATCATGTCATAGAAGATAAATGTGATATAAAATATAAGGACTACAGATAATTCAAATTATTTAATGAACTTAAAATAGTATTTGTATCAAGGAAGTCTAAGACATTGCAATAATTAATCTTAAATTTCCTGAAAGTAATGTTAACACACTAACACTTAAATTATAAAAAAAAAAATCATACTTTATATTAAATTATAATTTATACATACAAAATAATAAAACATAAATTTTTTAGGAAATATGCATTCAATTAGAAATCTTAAGACACTTAATTTCCCAGAAAAAAATTTGAATTTTCCATATTGATAGTAATTTCCGATAGCAAATTATAATATATTATAACAAAGTTTGTCAAAAATAATAAATTCCCGATAATATTAAAGATAATTAGGAAAATACTGAAATGGAAATATTTACTTAATATCAGATTCGATAAAATTAAATTTGATTTTCTTCTGTAAAAAACGAAACTCCACATTTAAATTTTTGGTACACACAATTTTATATAATTTTTTTCAAGTGCTGCTTCCATTTTACCCCTCATATTATGCTAGAATATTATTTAAATATAATAGTGATTTATTTTTTATTAGATCATTTTGAATACATTGAAGTATCATGCAAAACGTACAATACTTTGCTAATAATATAGGAACACACTTCGTACATCTGTAAGAAAGATGAAATAAAATTACACTCTACATATCTTGCAGATCATTTATTGTTTATAAAGTATTATTAAGTGATTTTATTTGATTCTAAGTGGAGCGATTTATAATTTTCTACAATATAAATAATATTTAGAAATATAATATGTATACCGAGTAGTATTTATAATTATTTTGAAAAGATTAACTTTTTTCTGATTTGTCTTAAACGATCTTAAACTATAAATTACAGCAAATTTGTACGCAAATTGGGTGCATTTGGATTTTCAATGGACGCAATCAGGGTGTTAAGTTTTTATTTTGGGCGCAAATGTCCATAACCCTAGGAGCTCAAATGGGGTACATGCTCTTTTGTGCAATGTCTGATGTGACCTTAAGAAATAAAAAATTGATCCCGAACCTTCAATTTTGAGGGTGATTTCAAGAAGACGATTGGATCAATTATTTTATAATTATAGGGAGGGGAAGATTGTTTAAAAATATGTTGGAAAAAATCAAAAACTGAAAACAGGAAAATGCACGTAAAACCAGTATTTTACAAATTCAAAAGTGTTATAGCTGTATCTACATCAAAAATGAATACTTGTTATAAATGTTACCTGTGTGTATTTGATTTTTCAAATATTTTGTATAACATTTTTGAAATATTTGCATTGTTGTCAAAAAAGTATTAATTTAATTTAATTATAAGATGTAGGAGAAAATTCAAATGCTTTACATTGCCCTGATATTATGTATTTGAAATATTATCATTTATACATACAATAATCCGTAAACTTGGATGTTTTAAGAATACAAATATATCTTACTTAAGCCATTATCTTGAACATCTATATGGTCCAATGATTTTCTATATAATTTTTAATTCCGCCAAACCATGACAAATGAATCATTAGATATTGATATTGGTAGTTTGAAAGAGTATAGTAGAAATACCTACAATTGTAAGTACTTAACCTAATCAAATTGAAACTGTAAACTGATCAGTACACATAATAATATTAAGTTGAATGTAAAAAATATGATGGGGGACTTGTTAAGATAATATGTGAATATGTCGACGTGTAGTCAGAATTGAATAGTAATGTAAATCATATTAAATATCATACATTGAGTATACTTAAAATGTATGGATGTGTTCAATTAAATTTAATCATCAATCATTTTAGAAGATAAAAACTATTTTTAGAGGTGACGTCTGCAGTCTATTTTTCTACACCTATATTATTATACATACATTGTAATAGCTCAAACTAATTTTTGGCAATAACTAATCATTGATATTAAAATACATTAATAATTATTTATTAATTATTATTGACCCATAATTAGTGAGCATCATTGAAAATAGTGTGAATAGATTCGTAGGACTATAACTTGAAATTTATCTGATTATTTTATTAAAATTAAAAATTATTATGTGTAGTATTGTGGCACGTGGCCCACTTGTGAGTCGCGAGCAGCTTGGTACTGGACCGCGAGTCATAGGTATAATATTAAATATTATATATATATAATATAATTAAGTTAATAAACAATTGTTTTTTTTTTTTTAAATTTTTAAAAGTTTTTATTCCTAATAACTAAATATATACATGTATATATGTATATAATATATATTATTATAATTTTATGAAAACGTATATAGATATGGTATGGATGGGCCTTAAATATTTTTTCACAAAATTAGTGGTCCGCGAAACTAAAAAGGTTGGGAACCACTGGTATAGATAATAACATAATTATGAGTAGGTAGAAACCAAAATTTCAAGCCTCTTTGAATGATCATTTTTTTGATTTTCATAAAATAAAATTTTTATTTTTCGTTTAAAAATCCAGTTTTTTGAATTTTTGATTTAAAATGTGTAAAACGAAAAATTAAGATACTGCATTTTTTATAGAATATACAAATTATTATAGTATATTTTTTTTGTATTTATTGTCAAATGCCAATATGTAATGTTCGATTACAAAATGTTAAGAATTTCATTTTTTAATTATAACTAATACTGTGTGGAAGGTATAATATACTATATGATTTTGAATTAAATAATTTTACGATTTCTACTTTGTGAAAATTGTATAATATCTATCCGTACTATGGAGAATCAAAAAATTATATTTAAGCATTATTATCTCATTAATACCACTCTCTATACCATTGTATTAAAGTATGGTTAGTGTATTTACTTTTCACATAGTTTATAAACTGATTTTAAGTCTAAACTCTAATAATTTTATCAACTCGACCAATTATACCAATACTTTCTGATATATTWATTTTTATTTTTTCCATGCTACTGATGTTAATAGAGCAATAATACATTATTTGCGGTTGTTCGTTGAATAAACAACTACTTGTATTTCGTTTCTGTGCGTAAATATAAAACATTAAATGCGTCGAAAGATTATTCAACATGAAACTTATTGGATTGTATTTATTTTCACGTTGTCTACTACAGATTTATCGAGTGGTCTGCTCTTGGTGTCTTTTCGCAATAATGAAATCACACCGTGTATGTACCGAATTACAGATGTCTAGAAAAATTGAAATTTCGGTACGGTCGACTTAAAGGGTTCGTGCGATACCTACATCGACTAGGTGAAAAGAAAACTGAAACTATTTTATAAATGTGTACCTAATACCGCAGTTATTCGAATGCCGAGTTGATTGCGTGAAGGATTAAACCATGCAGGTGGGTGAGGATATTTTAGGAATTAAAAGAGAAACGCGTTAATGTTAATTTCAAGAACTAGAAATTTTCATTGCGATGAATGTGTACCTACGTGTCTAACAATTATTGCGTTTCAGTTGACACACATACATACAAGATTAATATTGCAAAATTATTAATTACTGCTACCACAAGCACATTAACTTCACTTTGTCTTCACTTCACAAGTGTTTAATTACATTTTTTTGTTTTTGTAAATGTCGCTTTACAGAACACGAACTACACTTGGACGTGTCCGACCCGGTGAGTGCCATCGATGCCCAGCCTCCAGTTAAGCTGCGTACCACCACGTTGGCGCCATCCACGCCAACACCCGAGCCAATCATTCACGTGGGCACGACAAATGTTACAGTCCAGCTRGGAAGTACGGCATTGCTTCATTGCGAGATAGCCAATTTGTCCGAGAAAATGGTAAGTCCGAAACGGAGGTGTATACTGTATAACATAGGTGAATATTTATTATAAGGTTACGTTACGGCGCGGGATGATARGTAAGTGTAACGTAATATTATCGCAGAGGCAAAACGATTGATTTGAAATGCTTGACTCAATGGCAGTAAGTAATCGTTGGTGCGCTTACGGCGTACGGCTGTAATAGAGTCGTTCACGTAGGTTGCTCTTGCCTTACACGCAAACAAAAATACCAACACTCGTCCAATAATTCGTATTTCAGAAGTTTTGTAAACTCTACAACATTATAATAGAAATAACACGAACGCGCAAATAAGTCACTCAAGGACTGATGGTCMCCGGAGGAGGGGGACCGGGAATGTCACGGGGTGGAATGTGAGAGTGGTAGGGCAGTCGTGGTGATGGTGTCACACGAGTAAAAGAAAAAAATATTCCCTCGGGATGAATTCTTCGACACACGCGTGACCGTATGCAAATAACTGATGAAATATATTTTACATGCCGGTGGTATTGCCTTGTTTTTTTTCTCATATTGCTTTATGTATGTTATTGGATCAAAAAATAGTGTATCCCCATTGCTTAACCAGTCGTTTTATATAACACGCACCCCAGAGTACCGTTTTGGATTCAAACGAAAATTGCGGTTAGTTTAGGTTGAAACTACCGCTGCAGTACTGTTATACCTACAACTKACAAATTTCAATACTTCTTTACAAATATTATGCTAGACCGTGAAAATAATATTATCGTCATTTTTATAAGAATAAAAATACATATTCTAGAAATGTAATGGCAATTTAGACGATTGTACATAAGATTATTCGATTTTATGGCTCTGAATACTATACGTTGCATAAGTTATTTTATTGTGGGGAATATGTACATATACCTATTACAAGCAGAAAATTGAGTTTCTCACAAATAAACCATCTGAGCGAATTGTTTAAAAAATAAAAATATTTATTGAAACTTATAGCCTCGTTAAATTGGTATAAGAATAGATTTAATTGGTTTAATTGACTCAAATATAATAATATCAAAATAAACTATTTTAATATTTTATTAATATTTATAAAACATAATTAGTTTAATGAATAAACGTGAAGTTAATAATATCAAATAATCATTTTCATGTTAAGAATAATTTTAATCAAAATTTCATTTTTACTGTGAATTATTATTGGTTTAACAAATTATCGTAAGAATAAATTATGAATGATCATWATCACACTGGATACATTTTACAGCTGGGTTCAAGATGATCAGTTCACCTCCAAAATAGCAAAAGTAAAWAAATTGAAAACRATATAATATTGAATACAAAACAGCGAAAATCATTTAATTGAAAGAATAAAATAGCGAATAAAAAATAATGGAAAATATAAAAAAAATTAAAATTATGACAATTATTATTTTTGTGATATCTATACATTGTTTATTTTTATTAATATTTTAAAAAATCGAATAAAAATATAATTATTGGTTTTGGTCCCCTGGCGTTTGGAAATTTCATAGCAGTTCCATAACATTATATTAAAACATGGTGATTTCTGAACATYTTTTCTTTCTTGACGTCCAATCCACGTGTCWTYAAAACAGTTAGTTAGTGGTTTAAGAAATTCTTCATATTCGCAAAAAAATGGGGAATCCAACAATTCTTCATACGCGACTATAACATTGTTTGGTGGCACAACAGGAAAAGCCGATATCATTCTTATATGTAAAGCAAAATTAAGATCTAATTTATATTTTGTTGATAAAYCTTGAATTTATTGAATGTGCCTTCATATAGATTGTGTGAAATGAAAATGGCAACCATTTTGTTTTATATTTGAAAATACATATTTGAATGCGTTAAAAGCATTACATTCGAAGTCCGTCATGATTGATTTTGGATTTAAATTAGGCTTAATTTCTTTTAAAGTTGTTAACAGATGAATAAAATAGAATAATATAGATGAAAATATAATTATTCGATTATTTGAAGGGCCACTGTTGTGCAACAAAAATAGTGTGCCATTTTTTGTTTTTTCTAAATTTTTCAGGAATTTCCAGATCAAAAAGTGATTTTGGATCCGYAGGGACGCAGTCGTTCCTTTTGCGAATTCAACGAAGTGTATTTTTTATTGAACTTATTRATGACATTGCTCCCGCCAGTGGCGTTATCCATGATTCGACTATTACAGTAGTATGTACGTGTAATATAATAAAAATTAAATCATATTAGTATATTTAACTGAAGATCGTCGATAAGTTTGACGTGCCATCGAAAGCTATAAAAACGTAAACGATATAACACACATGTTCCACGGTCGGTGGTCAAACATGAACTTTGTAAGAAATCATTATGTTCATATTATTTATGATGATATTTTCAAATTAGTAATTGAAAATKTCTAGAAACACTTTGTCGTGAAATGTATTAAATATTTTATTGATGTACTATACGCTGACATGTTGCAACTACTAAAAACATGAGAATATTGATACAAATAAAATTGTATTCTTTGTTGATATAACTAAACAGTAAAGTACATATTTTATTGACCTGCTAGGTGAATACATATTACRCCCATCGATTTTTTCAAATTTAAAGAAAATGTACAATGTGAAACTATGGTACAGTTTCAAATGATATTTATTTCATTTTTTCCAAACATCTTTCTATTAAAACATATAATGAATTAAGGCATAATAAATTAAAATATTCAAATTTGTTCAAGAGTGAGCTTATTCACTTCCAATTTGATTGTATACTTCTATATGAAAGAACGAAGGTGTTTCAAAAGATAATAATAATTCAAAATATATATTTATATATTTTTTTATGCACTGTAATCGATATACACAATTAATACCACAAATTCTGTTGTTAGCGTACAACTATACTGATTTACGTTAGATCTACATATTTATGTGAAGCMTCACTTAGGAAATTGGAATTTATCAAAATTAAGTATAGATATCTCCTAAATTATTATCATTGGGACAGCTGGCTCGTTTAGCTCAATAATTCACCTACTTCAAAAACAAAAAGCCATAAACATAAATTAAATTACGAAAGGACAGAAACAATTTGTCGATTCACTAGATGAAACACCAAGAACTTATACAATTTATAATAACCTAAGTAATAAGAAGAGTAAACTGCAAATTATTATAAGACGAGACATGTACCTACAATCTACATATTGATTTTAATATCAAGATTGTTGGATATATTAATAATGTTATGATATACAATGTATAATAATGAACTTAA